TCTGTCTCACTCCTTAACTAGTGCTGCGCTGGTTGAGAAATCTGAGACAACTAAATAAAGAGTAAGCACTTCCCCTTCTAAGGGGTTTACCAGGACAGGGGAGAGCTTAGATACTTCTTTCAGTGCTTTGAACGCTTCCTCACACTGGGTGTCCCACTGAAATACCTTTTTCAATACCTGAAAGAAAGGTTGGCACTTGTCACTTGATTTTGATACAAAACGACTCAAGGCGGCTATCCTTCCTGCCAGGCGTTGGATCTCCATAATGTTGGACAGTGGTCGCATATCCAGAACTGTCTTAACCTTTTTTGGGTTAGCCTCGATTTCTTTGTTGTTGACTATGAATCTCATAAACTTCCTTGCTGATACCCCAAAGGCGCATTTTACAGGGTTGAGTTTCATCTTATATTCCTTAAGGATTCAGAACGATTCTGCTAGGTGCTCGATGTGCAACTCTATCTTCAGTGATTTTACCAACATATCGTCGATATAGACCTCCATGTATGTCCCAATTTGCTTCTGAAACATTCTATTCACGAGGCGCTAATAGGTGGCTCTAGTATTCTTCAATCCAAAAGGCCTGATCTGGTAGCAGTAAGTTCCTTGTTCAGTCACAAATGATATTTTCTCCTGGTCTGCTAGGTCCATCCTGATTTGATTATAACCTGAGAAAGCATCTATGAAGCTGAGGAGCTCATGCCCAGTAGTTGCAATCACGATCAAGTCGATTCGAGGTAAGGAAAAGATGTCATTGGGGCATGCTCGATTGAGATCAGTGAAATCAATACAGAGCCGTTATTTCCCATTGGTCTTCTTGACTAGCACCACATTTGCCAACCAAGCAGGGTAGTTCACCTCTCTGATGGCTTTGGCGTGGAGGAGTTTACTAACCTCCTTGTTAATTGCCTTCTGGCGTTCTGGGGCAAAACTTCTCCGCTTCTGTTTAGCAGGTTTGCAAATGAGATTCACACTTAGCTTGTGTGTGATGACTGAAGGGTCAATGTCTTCCATGTCCTCTTACTTCCAAGCGAACACCCCTATGTTCTTCCTCAGGAACTGGGTGAGTAAGTTTTTCATTTCTCTACTTAACTTAGATCCCATGAATACAATATGTCCAGGCCCTTCATCGAGCTGGATTGACTCTAGCTCTTCTGATGGCATGGGCCTAGTGTCCAACTCGTCCCTCATATCAGGCTCATCCAGTTGGATATTTTTAACCTCTTTCTACTTCACCGAGGTCATGTAGCACTCCCTGGCTATTCCCTGGTCTTCTCGGACCATTCTAATTCCATTTTCTATAGAAAATTTTACGATCAAGTGATATGCTGAGGGGATAACCTTCATTGCATTGAGGGATGGTCTCCCAAGTAGCATATTGTACGCAAAAAGGGGCGTCAACCACCAGGAATTTCACAGTGGGACAAGGAGGGTCCCTCATAGTGAGCACGAGTTGGATGGATCCCAGGGGTAGCACCCTTTCCCCTGAGAATCCCATTAAGTGAGCACTTACTGGCTCAAGCTTCCCCATTCCTATACCCATTTTGTCAAAGGCTGAGGCGAAAATGATGTCGACCGAGCTCTATTGTCAATTAGAACTCGATGAACCATTTGGTTAGCCACAATGATCCTTACCACCGACGGGTCATCATTGGGATGCTGGCAGCCTTCCAAGTCTGAATCCAAAAAAGTGATGGTTGTGCTCAGCTGAGGTATTTTGGACACGGTGTGCACTTCCAGCGCTTCGCCAGCTCTGATCCTGCGCAGGTGTGCTTTCCTTGCTGCACTGGATTCTCCACCGCCAGCAAATCCTCCAAATATCACTCTGATCTCCCCTAAGGGTTGCTGGTGCTGTGCAGGGGCTTGTTGTTGAGGTGTCGGTGGTGGTGGAGCCTTGTTCTGGTTGTCATGGGCGACAAATCATCGTAACTGCCCCCTCTAGATCAAGAACTCGATCTCCTTCTTTAGCTGAATGTAATCGTCGGTGTGATGGTCATGATCCCTATGATACTCGCAATACTTCATCGGGTCTCTTTTAGTTGGATCTGCTTTCATTCGTGGAGGCTACCTTAGGAATTTCTCGTGTTGCACCTCGTATAGGATCTGGGATACTGTTGTAGTGACAGAGGTGTATTGTTGAGGTGTATACCTCGGCTGTAGTTCAGGCTGCGGGGGTCCTAAGCGGTCCCTAACATTCCCCCTCCTTTTTAGGGATCGTTCTTTATCTCTTCTGGGAGATCTCTCTCTCCTTGGAGATCTGTTTCTTTCCCTCTCCCTCCTGGGACTTTGGTTCCTCTTTTTCTCTTCCTTTCGCTTATCTCTATGTGTGGAAGAGCTCCCTACCTTAGAAAGAAGAGCTTCTTCGCCGTTTATGTATTTCTCTGCTTTAGCAAGCACCTCGGCCATGGTTACTTGAGGATTTTTTGATATGGAGAACATTAAATCTTTAGATTGCACCCTTAGACCAGCTATGAAGGCAGTGATGACGAACTTTTTGTCTGGGACATCCACCTTTAATGATTTCAATTAAATTTTTGGACATAAGACCTGAGGTTTTCTTGAGATCCCTCTTTCATATTCAAAAGGTGATAGCTCGGCTTTCTATAGGTCTGAGCCCCTATGAAGTGGGATACAAAGGAAATGGAAAGTTCTTTGAAAGAAGAGATTGAGGCCGGGGAGAGCCTGTTAAACCACACCAAAGCTGAACCCTTCAAGGTGATGGCAAAGGCTCGACAATGTACGGGGTCCTAGTACCCATGCAACTCCATCTGGTTCTTATAAGTATTGAGGTGGTCCATGGGGTCCTTGGTTCCATCAAAAAACTCTATCTGTGGCATCTTGAACTTTGGTGGGAGGGAAAAATGCAACACCCCAGGTGTGAATGGGGATTTAGTCTGTTGCACTATGACGTCCATTGTAATCGGAGCTTTACTTCTGACCGCTTCTTTCATGTGGTTGAGCTCCTGTTGGATGCCCTTGAACCGTTGCTCCCAATATTGTTCCCTTCTCTCTTGGTGATAAGGGAATACATCATTCTTTTCACCTTCATAGTTTTGACTTTGTACTTCCTCATTGTGGCTATTCCTAGGAGGTAGTTGGGGAACCTGCCCCGAGGTCTGGTTGTTCTCCCCTCCTTTGTTGTCTTCTCTGAGTGGATTAAGGTGTTGTTAATCCCTATGACGGGAACTGTTCTGACCTTCTTGGGTCGGACGTGCCTCCTGTGGGCACTGTAAGAGCTTCAAGAGCTCTTCATTTTGCTTTATTAAGTGCTGATTAACGAGGCAAAAGGCCTCCATCTCGTTATTTGTGGGGGGATTCCCCATGGGAGGATCAGTTTCTGGAATGTTCTCGGGCTGTCTGCCATTGGTGGCTCCCTGTTGATCCTGTATCCAAGGTGGATTTGTTTGGCTTGTGCTTATGTTTCGTGTTGATACCATCAATCACTGAGAAATCAACTTATTTGTAATAGGAACAGTCGTTCCCACAGACGGCGCCAAACTGATGGTGCTGATTAATGTGGGTGAACAGAATATGTTGGATCAAAGGTGAATTTAGGTTGCCAACTTCATAATGACAATGAAATGTTTCTTAAGGCATAGGGGAATTTGCACAGTAGGAATATAGTAGTTCACCGGCTCTGGAGCTCAGCTAATTCACTCTCTAATGGAGGCTCTTGCTCCTTTTTGTCTCTATTGACTACTTGAATGTATTAGAATACAATGCATGATCTAATTAGGGTTCTTCTAGGGTCTTCCTCCTTGATGAGGCGTTACATAGTATTTATAAGGCTGCTTCATATTCTGTGGGATTTTAGCCGAGATCTTTGCCCATTATTCATGGGATCTTCCTTGATTTTAAGAGAGAATCTTGGTTGGTTGAGAGTTTCATGTATTTGGCCCAATTTTCACGGTCATCCAACTGTTTTCTAGTCGGTTTTGTTACTATCTCCCCAAGGGGAGCTCTACTCTTGGTTCTCTGAGTTCCCCGTGTCTTTCTTGACCTCCTGACCTGAGCTCACAGCTGGAGTTTATTTGAGGTATCATCATATTACATGAATTACCCTTCGGGTTAATTTGTTTATAAATGTCTTACCAAAATTTTAAGGGCACAAAATGTCATATGCCCGAATTTTTATTGAAATATAAGGGAAAAAATTTCAACTTCATCAGCTGTAATTCTAATAAAATTAAAGAAAAAGGTAGTAATGTAGTTTGTTCTCATAAAATTAAGTATAATATTCTAATATAAAGAACTTCAAATTGAACGTTATAGAAGTAACTGTGTACATATATATGAAAATATAAAGAATGCACCCCAAAAAAAAAAAATTTGGACAAATTAATAGAAGTTTGAACTACATTGTTATTTTTTTACCTGAGAGTAATATAAATGTTTTAATATTTCAATATATTAATATGAAATTTAAGAATTTCTAGAGAAATTATATTTTTACACCTTTAAATATACATTTAATTTCACTTAATACTTTAACTATTAAATTTTTCATGTTGCTCTTTGAACTAAAATTATTTCACAATACCCCAAACATAAGCATCCATTATTCTTTAGACAGAAATTGTTAACTTGTTGGGGTCAAGTGAAAAAAATTACATAGTTCAGAGGCAAAATGAAATGAATTATTGTTAAATTTGTATTGAACGTTAAAACATTGATGATGTATGAAAATAATCATATAATTAAAGGTACAATATATAAAAAGAGTAATGATAAATGGATTTAAAAATTAGACTTGATAATCTCAACCATTGAATAAGTAGTGAGTTCTAACAAATGCTGAGACCCACAGTAAAATCAATTGTTGAGATTATCAATTCTAATTTTTAAGTTTATTTTTTAAGTCCATGTAGTATTACTTATATAAAAAATATGTAATTATGTAATTGAGATGATAACATAGAAAAATGTTATAGTTGAAGGGGTCAAAGTGTAGTTGTTCCTAAGCATATATTCAGATGATGTGTAAAGGGCAAAAGACAAGGGCAAAACAATGTCCGTCATGCACAATTTGGGTGTCGAGTGTAGCTGGTTGAAAACGAGTGAAACCAGAACGAAAAAACACAGACTTCTTTTTGCAAAGAAATCTCTGATTCCAATGGCTAGCTCCGGTGAAATCTCAACGGAAACTCCGCCACATTACGACCGATTACAAGAACTAAAAGCTTTCGATTCATCAAAAGCCGGAGTTAAAGGCATCGTAGACGCCGGAATTTCGAGAATTCCCCGGATGTTTGTCCGCCCCTCCGACGAACTTGCCAGTGACTATCCAATCTGCGACACCCAGATCGCGATTCCTGTCATAGACCTTGCCGGCCGTCGAAGCAATTTGGTTGAAGAAGTTTGGCGAGCCTCGGAAACTCTAGGGTTCTTCCAGGTGGTGAATCATGGGATACCCAATTGGTTATTGGAGGAGGTGATGAGGAAGGTGCGAGGGTTCCACGAGCTGCCCAGAGAGGTGAAGGAGACGTACTACACGCGCGATCCTGAGAAGAAAGTGAAGTTTAGGAGTAATTTTGATTTGTATGAGACAAGGTCTGCTAATTGGAGGGATACTCTGTTTTGTGTCATGGGTCCTAAGCCTCTTGATCCACTAGAGCTTCCTGAGGTCTGCAGGTATCATCTGCCTAACTCTCTCTCCTCTCTCTCTCTAGATAGCTAATTTTCTTTCTTTTTTTCTTTTGGGTTGTTCGTGATGAGAATGCAATCCATTACACTACCCCAAACCCTTCCTATCCATGTTGTGATTTGAACCTGATCCTTAACAATACACTATTTTTGGATCTTGTGATGTATTCGTTTGTACCATGTTGTAGTCTGTATGTTGTGAAACTTATTACTGGGTGCAGTTGAAGGTTCAGGTTAAATTCGTAATCGGCCATATGGGAAAAGTTATCTATTTGGTCTTTAATAAATTTGTTTCTCATTTGGAAGTTGGAGATGTGTTCAATATATTGGAACTAAACTTCTGTAGGCATTCTCAAATTTTGTATGAAAATGTAGAGAAACAATTATCGAGTACTCGAAGCAAATAACGGGACTGGGAATTACTTTGTTTGGATTGTTGTCTGAGGCACTTGGGCTCCAACCTGACCACCTCATTGGCATGGATGGTGCGAAAGGGCATGCAATTCTGGGTCACTATTACCCAGCATGTCCAGAACCTGATCTGACTATGGGCACCAGCAAACACTCTGATCCTGATTTCCTGACAATCCTACTTCAAGACAAAATAGGTGGACTCCAAGTACTTCATCAAAAGCAATGGATCAATGTTCCTCCCGTATCTGGAGCTTTAGTTGTTAACATTGGGGATCTCTTGCAGGTTTTTTGTTAGATTCATTCAAGTTCTCTGTATTTTCTATTCAATCTATATATCTGTATTCCTGTCTGCATCAAACTTTCTGTGCCTGTCCATTATTGTTACTAAACAAATTTCATGACACATTCCTTTGTTTTTGCATTTGAACTACGGAATTTTTTGTCATGCTTCCTTATTTTCCATTTATATACCTTGCCTACATTAACTCAGTAAGCTATAATTCCTTGGATTTTGTTGCATAAAGATTCCAACTTGGTTGCATCTTCATAGATTCAACTTCAGCAAGCCTCAAGGTTGTCTATGACATAGGAAAATTGGAAAAAAGAATTAGAAAGGCCGGATTTGTCAACTGTGAAAATTTTTGCATCTAATGGCTGCCTAACTCTCGCAGAACAAGTTTTTCTTCATCCATGAAATTATTTACGGTTATTCATCAATGGGGCTTTCCTGTTTTTTCTTTTCCAAATTTTGTTAATACCTGAAGAATGGCCAACATGGATAATTTTATAAAATGATGCTGTAAGCTTAAAAACAGGTCAGTGCATAGACGTCAGGAATAATGACTAGTGCTATAAAATATTTGGTGTCTTTCCTTCCAAGCTAACAATTCTATGTATCCTGCTTTTGATACTACCTTAAGATGCTTGATATCTTCAATGATGTTGAAGACTCGAAGGCAGGTCTTTTGGTAAACATTTCATGTAAATCTTAGTTTGTATAAGAATTGTGTATATGGTATTGTGTTTCTCTGTTTGCTTTCAGCTTATATCAAATGACACATTCATAAGCGTGGAGCACCGCGCGTTGGCTAACCATGTCGGGCCTAGAGTATCAGTGGCATGCTTTTTCACACCGCATCTTGACCCATCAAAAAAGATGTACGGCCCAATCAAGGACTTGTTATCCGAAGATCATCCTCCTGTGTACAGAGAGACCACATTGGAAGACTTCATTGCCCACTACGATTCTAAAGGACTTGATGGCACCTCTGCTCTAACACATTTCAAGTTGCATGGATAACCAACAAAATACAGAGTGAGATTAGATTGAAACATCTTTTCAATAAAATGCTTAGTCAGATTATATAAAATAACAGGGTTGGAACCTAAGTGATCTGAACATGTTGTAAGCTTCGGTTTTGGTATGTTATTAGAAGTTTCTCCTGCATAGAAAGAGAATTGGGTATTGCTGGAAGATGTCCCTGTTCTCGTTACGTATGTATTCAACTGTTTTTCTCATCATCAGTTATAACAATCTTTTTCCTGCACATCGATAAGGTGTTTCTGAATTACCTTTAAATATGGTATAATTTCAACTTGTTTTCTACAGAATGCGAAGCAAATCTCTCTCTTGTACTGGAGCCACCAAGGGAATTTTGAGCGGTAATTGAAGCAGTGTGAGAAATACTTGCACTTTCACCACTTCCTCTTGACAATGACCACTACTTTCGTGGTAGCCTTGAAAATGGAAAAGGGTAACAGTTTCGTGAGAAATAACAGTTGATCATATCACAGCATAGAATTGTGGGATACATAGAATGGGCCATTGAAACTGTGGTTACCATCACCACCACTTTCTTGCACTATTTATCATCCATTGCAGTTGTCTCTGTTCTTCAACACCTTGGCGATGGAGCTACCGGCCCTGATGATAAGGTGACAGAACATCTTCTGTTCAGTGCCCCGAAAGGAGTCTCCTTTATGCAAAAATGAGAAAATAAAAATGCGAAAGGAGTCTCGCATGCAACTCTTGAGGGATATTTTTGGTATTTCATGGACAGAATGAAGGGCAAAATTGGAAAATAAAAAACAAGCACCCTTTTCCTTCTCTTTGGGCCCAGCCACAAACTCTACCCACAATCGTCCTCTCTAAATCACCACCCCCAAACATTGGCTGCCACCATCTCCATGATGCCTCCGCCATCCAAAATTTGTTCAGCTCGACCTCCACCACAACCATAAGCCAACCGCCCCACTCAGAAACACAACCACCTCCTTTCTCCTCATCCACTACCTGTAAACCCACCACTACCTCCACCACCACACACCCAAATCTTACCCCTACTACATCCACGACAACGATTCACACACCAATTGTGTACTACTCTCACAAATTGCAGAGAAAGAAGTAAATAATTCAACAGAATGAGATATAGAGAATTAGAGAGGGAGAGAAATTTACAATTAAACCTGAATTTTCATATTGGGTGTTGCAATGAATTGACACTGGAGGTGGTGCAATACCTATTCACCCAAGGAGACCAAGAATCAAAAAATGCCTCAGATAGAGTGTTTGAGAGAGAGAGAGATGGATGTGTGGGGTTTGAGGGCAAGATACACAGTTACAAAATTAGAAAACGAAATAGAGAGAGATACAAATATATGTGTTGGTTTGAGGAAGAGAGACGAGAAGAGGCAGACAATTGTACAAAATAAAAAATAAAAAAACCCTCCCTCATATGTAACATGAGTGTTGTTCACTAATATCCTTATTGTCATGGGGTAATTTTCGTTTTTCTTTCGAGGCTATCTGTGAAGGCGTTGCTATTGCAACCAACCACACACAAACTCAAAAATAAGGGACAAAAACTCACACAGAAGACACACACGAATTTATTGGGACAAAACTCCCAAACATTATATATTGAACTCAACCATTTACAAAGAACTCTCAAAGCCATAACACTCTCCTCCTATCAGAATGCTCAAGCACCCTTATTTATACAGAAGTAAGGCAGAAAACACCCCCATCTGCCAAGGGTAGTTACACACGTTTTTGCTATTCCATAGCATACTTAGCTAGCAGGCTTGATCTCTGTGCGACACCTGGCAGACAGTTCCATCCCTTTCAATAACTGATGTGGAATTGCCCTTTATCAGCATGCATTTGAACTGGATTCAGACTAGGGACACCCAGAACTGCCTCAGCAACTACCTTGACTATGTCTCAGCATCTGCAACTGCCCACATCTTCCTGGTCACATGCATTGAGCAGTCATGTGCCCACATTCAGCAGTCAGTCTTGCTTCACGAACCAATGTGCATGCTGGGTTCAATCCATGTCATGCAATCCGAAGCTATGCACCCATATTGCTTCAATTGAGCCCACCACGTACTGTCATGCTCAACCGGGTGGTCTCATTCTACCTTGGTTCGCCCCAATCTATCGAATCACTTAACCGCGCCACCTTGATTCCAACTTATAGCATGCCTTAGTGCAAGGTGCCACCAAAATCGGTCATTTGCACCCAAGTCAGTTAGAGTGTGACACTTATGGTCTATAAGGTTACACTTGATTTTACTACAATGAGAGCACAAGTAAGATCCTAGTAATCGTTTATCAAGAGTCTAATGCTCCGTTTAGTACGATAAAAAAGTGGGATGATGAAAAGTTGGCAGGGTGAAAAGTTAAAGGGATAAATAAAATATCATGTTTCGTAAGAAATGATTAAAAAGTGGATGGATTAACTTTCCTTCTAACTCACCAAAATTAATCCCTCTAAAATTGGAAGTGGATGAAAAGTTAATTACTTGTGTTGAGATGTATCTTATTTCTCTATATATCTTATGCATACATTAATTTTATATAAAAATATAACGGTAAAATATGTATATATATTTTAAAAATTTTTTAAAATAAAAAATAAAAAATAAAAATAAAAAATTTTAAATTAAAAAAAAATATATTTTTTCCATCTTAATTAAAGGTGAAAATTTTTGACTCAATACGATGACACGACTTAAACTCGATACGAAAATAAATAGGTCAACTCGTAACTCGACACGACACAATTAGTTAAATGAGTTAAGTATAACTAACATTCGACACGACACAATTAGTTAAATGAGTTAAGTATAACTAACATTCGACACAAATCCGTAATGATTCAATATGAATATGACACAACACGACTTGACTCGATTCGATTGTCACCCTTAATTTTAGCCAGCACAAAAAAAAAAATAGTCATTTTTATTTTTCATCCATCCTACTAAACACAAAAGAAGAAAAATGTATCCTTCCTACTTTTCATCATTGAAAGATAGAAAGTGGATCTCTGAAGCATAATGCTCCGTTTGATAAGGAAGATAGAAAGTAGGAAGGATGAAAAGTAGGAGATATACATTTTCTATCCTTCAAGGATGGAAAGTGGAAATGATACATTTTCCTTCTTTTGTGTTTGATTGGATGGATGGAAAATAAAAATAACTATTTTTAATTTTTTTTTTTTTATGCTGGCTAAGATTAGAGGTGACAATCGAGTCAAGTCGTTTCATGTCAGATTCGTATTAAGTCATTTACGAGTTTGTGTCGAATATTAGTCAAACATGACTTAACTCATTTAACTAATTGTGTCGTGTCGAGTTTTTAGTTGATCTGTTTATTTTCGTATCAAGTTCGAGTCGTATCATCGTGTTGAATTTAAAATTTTTGCCCTTAGTTAAGATGAAAAAAAAAAAAATTTTAATTTTAATTTTTAATTTTTTTAATTTTAAATTTTAAAATTCTAAAATATATATACATATTTTACCATTGTATTTTTATATGAAATTAATGTATACATAAGATATATAGGCAAATAAGATACATCTCAACACAAATAATTAACTTTCTATCTATTTTCTTTTTGATTTTGGAGGAATTGATTTTGGTGAATTGGGAGAAAAGTTAATCCATCCACTTTTCCATCCTTCCTACTTTCATTCCTTACCAAATATGATGTTTTTTTTATCCCTCTAATTTTTCATCATTTTAATTTTTTATCCTCCTATTTTTTCATCATACCAAACAGAACATAAAAAGAGTTACCAGTGCTATGACAAGGATCGTAAAAATGGTAAAGCACAGCATGAGTTATAATGTGCAGGGCAGCAGTGGACGGAACTACGAGCTCATCGTTTCAGAATGTGTTTGTTGCTTGACATTATGAACTACAATGGTAAAAATATTGGACTAACAATCATGATAAGTTTGTGTCGTCTGAGAATACCAGGATGTTATACCTTATAAACAATGTCAGATATTCGGTTATTATCATACACAGTCCACAATAATTTTTATTAACGATAAATAAATTGGGTAGCAATTAAGATTCTTTATAGTTTTTCATATAGCAAGGGGGCATTTGGTAACCGCTTGTTTTTGTTTTTTTTTTTTTTCATTTTATGGCTTGAAAAAACAAAAAGCATTTGGTGAATATTTTTGTTTTTTTTTAACATCTCCGTTTTAAAAACAAGGCTAAAATATAGAAACATCCAAAATGATGGCCTTTTTGGTTTGGTTTTCAAAAATAGTTTTTTGTTCTCAAAACTTAAAAAACAAGGAAGAACTGTTTGTTTTACTTTTTTGTTCTCTAATTTTTTGAAAATTTTAGAAAATGATATGTGATTTTAGATAACAACAAAATAGTGTTTTCATTATTTTCTAAGGTAAAATAAAAATATGGGAAACACCGCTATCTCCAAATTAATGTGGTCTCCTCTTCAATTTTCATTGGAGACAAAAAATGTGATCGTTTGTTCATCTTCTCCACCACACTCTCTCTCTCTCTCTTTTGCAACTTTCCCTCGCTCCCTTCCTCTCTCTAATCCAGCTTCAAACTATGTATATACACAGATCTGTGCTCGTTTGTGTGAGTGTGTGTGATATATACAGATCTGTGCGCTTCTGTGTGAGTGTGTGTGTGTGAGAACTCATCTCATCTCTCTCACTCTGTGCAATAGATCTGTAAATATACACAGATCTGTGTGTGTATATATATACACATATGTGTTGTGTGATGTATGTGAGTGTGTGTGTGATGTGCTATGGCTGTGTGTGTGTTTGTTTTTGTTGGGTGAAAGATAACAAAGAGAGAGATGGTTGCTATTTGGAACATAATGAAGAGTGAGGGAGACTTGCTGGGTGAGAAGATAACAGAGAGAGAGATGGTTGCCGTGTGGAAGATAATGGAGAGAGAGAGAGAGTTGATGTGTGAGAAGGCGATGGGTTAAAAATTGGTTTTATGGATCATTGTCCAAACAAGTTTTACTATTTTTTGTTCTTTAAAATTATTTTAAAAAATATATAATCAAATAGGTTTTGCAATCTTAGAATTTTTAAAAACACTTTCTTAAAACTCTTCCTAAAAATAATTTTCAGATACTGTTTTTTGAAATGCAAATCAAACAGTTCCGTTATTTTTGAAAGCATCAAAAAAAAAAAAACACGTGCGGTTCAAATGTTCCATTTAATGAGATCCTGACTTCGATTCTCCTTAACAACAAAAAGTGAATTTTTTTTTGCTTTAGTATAAAACCCCCCTTTCTGGTCTCTCTCGAATCACTCTTTTTCGTCCTTTTTTGATGGTTTTGTTGGAGAGTTTCAAGGTTGAGTTTTGGGATTGTGGTGGTGGGTTTCAGAGATGGGTAATGGGTTTTGCTAGGGAGTTTCAATGGTGGGTTTTTGGGGTGGGTAATGGGTTTCGGTGGTTGTGGTGGTAGGGGTGGGTTATGAGTTTCGATGGTGGGGGTTGGATTGGGGGTGAGTTTTGGTGATGGGGGTGCGTCGTGGGTTTTGATGGCCGGGGTTGGATTTGGGGTGAGTTTCGGTGGTTGTTATGGTAGTAGGTTTCAGTGGTGGGGTTTCGGTGGTGGGTTTCAATGGTGGGGTTTGGATGATGAATTTTGTGTATAATATCAAACAGATTTTTTATTTTTGTTTTCATAATTTTTTAAATATAAATGACTATGAAACATGTGTTTATATTCTTAATTTTTATTACAAAAAAAAAACATAAAAACAAAAAATATTATCAAACACGCCCTAAATTATTGAGTTATTTTTGGCAGTGCGTGGAGCTAGACTTCTGCTTTGATTCAAGTGACACTTTTACAAAAACGTCCAAAATTTTGTAATATAGACTTCTCTAAAAAATAACTTTTTCAACAAATGAGTACGACACTATAGTAGGAGACTTCACAACTGATTGCACCCTCTTTATAGAATACACATTTATTTTACACCATACCAATATTATTAATTAATAAGTGGATAAATTGAACTTTACTCAAAGTGGTTGTAGTTGAAAGATTTTGTCCACTTGAATATTTTTGTACAGTGTGTCGGTTATATATCAACTATTATAAAAAAAACGTAAAAAATACCGAACCCAACAGTTTTTTTGTTGTAAAAATCAGTAATGGTTGGTTGAAATTTGAAAGCCTTAAAAGAAACAACACGGGCCTCTTTTTTCAATAAACAAATTTCAGATGGAAATCTCAACTGAAACCCCGCCAAATTACGACCGATTACAAGAACTCAAAGCTTTCGACGCATCAAAAGCCGCCTGGTCGACTCCGGAATTTCAAGAATTCCACGAATGTTTGTCCGCCCCTGCGATGAACTTGTCGGCGACCATCCAATCTCCAGCACCCGCTTCGCAATTCCGGTCATAGACATCGCCAGCCGTCGAAACGACGTGGTTGCAGAAGTCCGGCGAGCCTCGGAGACTCTTGGGTTCTTCCAGGTGGTGAATCATGGCATACCCAAGTGGGTATTGGAGGAGATGTTGAGGAAGTCTCGGGGGTTCCACGAGTTGCCCAGAGAGGTGAAGGAGGTGTATTATACGCGTGAGCTTGAGAAGAGAGTGAAGTTTGGGAGTAATTTCGATTTGTATCAGTCAAGGTCTGCTAATTGGAGGGATACTCTGTTCTGTGTCATGGGTCCCGAGCCTCTTGATCCTCTAGAGCTTCCTGAGGTCTGCAGGTATTATTTGCAAATTCTCTCTCTCTCTCTCCATAGGGTAATTGTCTTTGACATGTCCTGAAAGTACCATGCCTTTATGCCTTAATTGCTTGAAAAGGCTAAATTTCTGTATGTTGGAATTGAAGTTCGAGGAAAATTGAGATTGATGCAGAAGTTAAATTGAAGTGATTTATGGGGTGTGGACTTGTAGTTTACGAACTACAATGCACATTTTGAAGTGATTTATTGGAGTGATTTCTGATTCTGATATACTTTTTATTAGAACGAATGCACATTTTGGACTCAGGAAGGGATTGCAATTGGGATTCTGCCTGGTGTATGGAAAAAATTTTCTTTTGTTTCCTTAAGCTAAAAGGAAAGTCATATAGAACTGCTAGGCCAACTAGGTGTTATGTTATTGAGTGTTTGGTAAGTAAGAACCAACACGTTCAAAAATTGAGTGAGAACCAACACGTTCAAAAATTGAGTGAGAACCAACACCTTCAAAAATTGAGTGTGACAAAAATATGAATGTTAAGATGGATGAGGTGAAATTATGAAGGATAGAAATGATTGTATTTGTGAAAAAGTAGAGATAGCACCTATAGGAGAGAATTAAAGGAGAATTGAGTTGGTTTGGACATATTTATAGATGGCCTACTACGACACTGCTGAGAAAAAGAAACTTGATAACTATTAATGGTAAGAATAGGCGTAGAGAGGGGCCAAAATTAACTTTAAATGAAGTACTAAAAAATGATATGATAATCAATGATTTAACAGAAAGCATGATACTTAATAGTCATGATTCGTATAGTCGGTCTTAAAAATGTTGAGACAAGTTTTTGGTGAGTATGATTCATGTGGATATAATTACTCTTTTAACATTAGGGATGTATTCACTTAATCGGAAGTAATCTCCTGTAAGGCTCAGGCAATTATGTGTTTGTTCGTAGATATATGACTTTGGTATATAGCAAATCGCAATTGCATTTGCAATCTTTCTGTATATATCTAATTGGGATGTCTAACATGTTGACAGTTTCAGAATTCACAACTGTTGTTGCTTACCTTTCTTCAATTGTTCTTGTTATACTCCTTACGTTCCCAAGTGTTTTTGCAAACTTTGTCAAAAAAGCTCACTTGTTTTTTTGGTGGAATTGCAAATTCTCCTTCTGGGCGCTTGGGAGATCTGTTAATTTTTATTATTGATTGTGTTTGAAAATTTTGTAAACAATCTTTATATGTACAAAATTCAAAACCACGCAGTAGTACTCCATGTAGGTGAACGAATAGTTAAATTCATAAGAGTAAACTACATCGATGACCCTCATTTGTGTCAATTAAGCCCTAAACTAATTTTTGTGTCAATTAGCCCTCAACTATGCAATCTAACTCAATATGATCCTTCTGTCCAAATTCGTTGTTAACTTACTTCACGTGCTCAGGGATTAGGGTAGGTAAAACAATACTCGTGATAAAGTCTATTAAAGTTAACTGCAAATTTGGATGGAAGGGTCACATTGAATCACATTGCATAGTAGAGGGGCTAAATTGACACATAAATTAGTTCAGAGACTTAATTGACACAAATGACATAGTTTAAGGTCCATCTGTGTAGTTTACTTGATTCATAATTAGACTATATGGGAAAAAGTTGTCCTCTTTTTTATCTTCAGTTAATTAGTTTCTCATTTGAAAGTTAGAGATTTGTTGGAACTTAACTTCTCCAGGCTTTGATAAATTTTGTATGAAAATGTAGAGAAATAACTATGGAGTACTCAAAGCAAATAAAGAGATTGGGAACTGCCTTGTTTGAATTCTTGTCGGAGGCACTTGGGCTCAATCCTGACCACCTCATTGGTATGGATTGTGCAAAAGGGCATGCGATTCTGAGTAACTATTACCCTTCATGTCCGGAGCCTGATCTAACTATGGGCACTAGCAAACACTCTGATCCTGATTTTCTGACAATCCTACTTCAAGATGAAATAGGTGGACTTCAAGTAGTTCATCAAAAGCAATGGGTCAATGTTCCTCCTGTGTCTGGAGCTTTGGTTGTTGACGTTGGTGATCTCCTACAGGTTTGTTCTTGTTAAATTCATTCTGGTATGTTATAGTTTCTATTTAATCTATCTTTCCTATTCATGTCTACATTAGATTATCTGTGCCCCTATCTATCTTACTCACTAAATGAGTTTCAAAACATATTCATTTTTACTGCATTTATTTACGAAGTTGGTGTTTTTTTATGATGCTTCCTCATTTTCCATATACATGCCTTGTAGGCATTTACTCTATAAGCTACCATTCTGCTGCACTATATTTTATATTGGATTGTGTTTCACAAAAAAATTCCACATTGATAACATCTTTTTAGATTTATGTCCAGCCAACCTCAAGGTTGTCTATGACATAGGAAAATTGAAAATAAGTACTCAAAAGGAAGGATTCACTGACCGTGAAATTTTTAGCTACTAATGGATGCCTAACTCTCCACAGGATCAGTTTTTCAGCATCCATTACATTCACCATGATTCATCAATGGAGCATCGTTGTTTTTTCTATTTCACGTCCATTTAAATCAGAAGAAATCCCAGCATTGAGAATATCATCAAATGATGTTGTAAGCCTAAAAACAGGTCAGTGTCGGGTATAAGGATCCGTTTGTAACATATTTGGTATCTTTTCTTCTAAGCTAAAAATTTTGTATATCCTGCTTTTTATACCATCTCAAGATACTTGATAATGTCCAGTGATGTCGAAGGCACATCTTCTGGAGAACTTTCCATTGGATCATAATTTTCGTAAACAAACCCATGAGGTAGTCTATGTTTTTCTGTTTGCCTTCAGCTTATATCTAATGACACATTCATAAGCGTGGAGCACCGTGCATTGGCTAAACATGTTGGACCAAGAGTATCTGTGGCATGCTTTTTCACACCGCATCTTTACCCATCAAAAAAGATGTACGGCCCAATCAAGGACTTGTTATCCGAAGATAATCCCCCTGTATACAGGGAGACCAGGGTGAAAGACTTCATTGCCTACTACGAATATGATCTTGTTGTAAGTTTCATTATGGTATTAAAAGTTCATTTTACACAGAAAGGTCAATGGGCGTATAACTGGAAGATGCTCTTGTTCTTGTAACATATCTATACAACTGTTTTTGTCATTATGGGTTATGCGATATGTTAATGGATTTCTGAATGTCATGAAAAATGATGTAGTTTCAAATTGTTTTCTACAGAATGTGAAGCAAATCCATGCCTTGTGATTAGGAATGTGATTCTTCCACTTCTTCCATTTCCACCGGCCAATGGCCACTCATTCCTTCAGTGTCTTGAAAATGGTAAAGGGTAACCATTTTTGTGAGAAATGCTAGTGAACCATAATAGAAAACTTGGACAATCGAAATTGGCCACCGAATTTGTTGAAACAATTGTCATCATTTGCAAGCTCTATGAAGAAGTCTCCCGCCTGGCCCAAGAGATTGAGAGGAGAAGCCCCCGCCTTGAGACGAGGAAGTATGGCTCTCTTGACAGGAAAACTAATCAGGGTGAGCGGATGAGCATGATTGTTTGTATTGGTCTCAGGCAGGCTTTGAAGGGTTAGTTTGATAGTTTGCTCAAGCAGGACTCTTAGTCTCCTAGTGTGGCTCATTGCTAACTGAGTTGTGCTTGACTGGAATTCGAAGGAGCCTTGAGATGGAAGGGGTCGATGATCCAAATCAACATATCGGATGTTGGCATATGTGGATTGATGGCTAAAGGACTAAAAGCACCCTGGAACACAACTTGAAAAGGGCTCCGGGGGAGGAGAAGGCTCGGGGTATTTGTGCACCGGGGGTATCGCGACCATAACCCTCCCGCGGTTGCAACATCCTGTGGTGACCCAACCGCGATCTCTCTTCTCAGGTGTCACCCCTATCTCAAATATTATGTTCTTTCCTTGAGGACCGAGTACATGTTGTATCTAAACAAACATCATGTTTGTTTAATTAATGTTTGGGACGTCTGGCGCATAATGCGCAACCCTCAGCACATATATATGTGAGGTGTTTGTAGGTAAGCACAACTGTCACGTATGGCGTTGACTTCTATACATAGATAGTCACAAGTAGCTCGTAGGTTAGTCATGTGCTATCAATACCCTAATTACGCACCCTTACCTGTCTGAGATAGCCAATTCAATTGGTGTGAAAATCTTCGTTGACTCTACCTACTAAAGAAACCTTTTGCCCAAAGATTAGTCTCATCAGTTAATAGACAATTGGAGTCTTTTCATCACAACCATCTATTTTACTCATCCCTTTGAGATATTGGTATTAGACACACGTGTTGACTTATCATTTAACTCCCCACAAACTAGATACAAAATTGAGAAGATCCTGGATTGCTTTGAGTTTGTATGAACCTCAAAACATGCCCATAAAAGGTAGGCAAACAGTGGAAGGAACTCTGTGCTCATGGTTCCAGAAATAAGGTGACTGCTGCTCGACATCATAGACTACGGTGGTAAAAGTATCGGAGTAATAATCGTATACTTGTGAGTTTCATATGTGGACAGTCATTTTATGTAAATAATATCACAACTATACTTAATCCATCCTGAAGAGTCAAGGGTCAGAGAGAATGTTAAGTGTTATGCTCTTCACTTCACAACTATAATTACTACAAATAAGAACAAGCCCCCCGTGGTTAGTAACTCGTTACCAATGTAAACTTGGTGACAGTGAGCAAGGCTTTTTCAGTGGTTTGTTACTAAAGACTTCTTTGATCGGAGTAAATATTTAATGTAACAGTGATGTCATTTTATCAATAAACTTGATTATATGGCTACCAGGATTCAATAGACTTGAAGGGACAAAGTACCACCTGATTCAAGTTGAGAACCTAAACATTGAAATATGAGGACAAACTAGTCTATTCATGGCCATCAATAGGTAATAAGTGGGGTTCCATGTACTGGGTTGGTAAGTGATACCAAGATGATCCAAGTTTTTTTATAATCTAGTTCAAGTGATAACATGGACGAGTTGTAAAGTTAGGTGTCCTGAGTTCGAATCTTAACAATCCTTTGGGGTTAAGCTATGAGAGATTTATCCCTCATAAATACCCTAGTTCAGACATTGATGATCTGCCTATAACCGGACCAAGAAGAAGATTATTTAAGGTACGTGTAAGTTGGTTCAGATACCTCTCACTGTGTTAAAAAAAAAAAAAAAAAACTCAGTCAATGATGTCTTCCTCTTTTTTTATTGTCCCAGGGATGTTGAATTGTTCCCTTTTGCTTTGTGCAAAATTTGAGACACCAATCATGGTTCAGAGTATTGGTCCACATGGATATAACTTGGACATCTTCCTTCACATTCCGTGCAAACCACGAGTCTCACGTGATTCACTGAGTTGTCTGAAACTTCTTTGAGTTAACCTGAGTCGTTATAATCGTCACTAAATCAACTGATATTGTTCTACAACAGTGCAATATGGTTTGAATTTCTTGCCATGTTTCAATATATTATTCTGTCTAGCATTTCGCATGTATGGCCCAATGTCGATAAGTTTCAATGCCCTCCGAAGCGATGGTCAATACCGCAAACCCTAAACCATGGCACAAATCCGTCATGTGGAATATCACAGGATGCTTAAATTATAATCAAATATCTACCTTTGGTTCAATATAAAACGACTTTACACATGTCTTATTCTCATTTGTAAGATAAAAGCGATACAATACTGAACAAAATAACTTTTCTCTTAGGCCAATTGGACCTTGAGTAGACCTAATCTTAGCATCGAGTATGAGAGATTTTTTTGGTTTTTTAGTTTAATAGTTAGACTGTCTGAATCAATTTATATGTATTTCGAATAATCTTTTTTTCGATCTAATCAAAAACAAGTTATTCAGCTCAGAGCTAGAAAATTCAATGAATCAATTTATATGTATTTCAAATAATCTCTTTTTTGATCTAATAAAAAACAAGTTATTCGGCTTAGAACTAAAAAATTCAATGAAGCCCTATTAGGATCAACTTCCGACCAACATAAATTTGGCATATGTGTATGCATGTGTGTGGAACCTATGTGTAAGTGTACGGTGAACTGTGAACCACAACTTATTCTATTGAGAGAGAGAGGGAGAGAGAGAGAACACATATACCACCAAGTATATGCCAAAGATCAAGTCTATCTTGGATGAGATTTTGGGTTTGTGGGTTGTTGCTTTATCTGTTCCTCATCTCTTTTTCAATCTGGATAATATCATTAACACACTTCATGATCTTTGTGGGGTCCCTGAGGGGCTTCGGACAGAGTGGCCAACTGACCCTCATGACCCTACCGCCCCATAAATTCAACCCATCCCAGAGATTCCCTTATTTAAGCCCTTTTATATGTCTTATTCTCTTGGAGAAGAAGAGCTAGATTTAGAAAGAGAATGAACTGAGGTTCTCTTTTTTTCTTTGTTGTACCAGTCAGCAACTAGCTCTTCATACCGACTTACCGAAAAAAAAAAAAATAGCTCCTCATACCAGTTTGAGGACAGAAGATAGATAGATAAATGGAAGTAGCTAGTGAAGTAGAAGATGATGTGTTTTTTGCAGACTTAAGCAAGCAAATTTTTCTACTAATCATGGATGACGAAGAAGACCCAGTTGCTCATTTTCCTCCTATTACTCTCCAGGTTCTCCATCACCTTCTCTCTTACAGTTTTTTATACAGAAGAATCGATTTATTATCAGTCGGCCTAGGCGCAACGCTAAGATTTTTCCATTGTGTCATAAGCAGTTTTGTGTCGTGAAAATAACTTCTTCTCTTATAAGTAAGACTAAATATATCTGAACCTCCTCAGATCTGCAGTGGCGGAAGCCTTGTACATTACACCGCTCTTTTTAATCTATGTTTTCTTGCAGGTCCTTCTTGCTATTTCACTTAAAGGAAAACTGTTATCTCTCTCTCCCCCCCCCCCCCCCCCCTCCCCTAATCTATGTTGTTTCAATTTGTTGGATATTATGCAATTGGAACTGGTTGAGAGCAAACACAATCTAACAAAATATGATGAATTTTGCCCTTTTATGAATGTTTAGGCCTTCTCTCAAGCACTGCATCCAACAAGACAACCACCATTTTTGTATGACCAAATAAGCAGAAGAGAGAGCAAAGGAACTGGGGTTTTTATCCCTTGTTCGTCTAACCCAAGAAGGAAGAACAGACAAGGAAGATCCACTTCATCCAACAGTATCAATGTCCATAGACACATTGATAACTCAAGAGGGCGTCCTAATAATGTACCTCAAAATAGCAATCCATCTTATAATTCTTTTAATCATACAACATGATAGATATAAGAGGTAAGAACGCAGTAAATTGTAATAATATCTTTGCCAATGAGTTGAGGCAAAGATTCATTGATTTGTATGGTGATCTTGCACAAAGAAAAGCTACTAAAAATAGCTTTAGAGAGGTTTTTCCAAAGGTTTGTGCTCCTCCCTGTGATGGAATTGTATGATTGTTGTTAAGGTTGGAAAAGTCCTCGTGTTCATTCAATTAAGTATTTGGAGTAAATTGTTGTATAACATGGTATCAGAGTAATAGATCTTGTATTCAAATCTCGTCGTCACCCTAATGACTAAAAGAAATTCACGTGATAGGCCCAAAATATAGCCTGAATGTGAAACGACGTGTTGAAATATAAATAGTTAAATTAGACTCTCTCCAACAACCTTAAGTTAGACCCTCTCCTGTCACATTCTTGTTTTTTTTATATAACCAACAACCACTTACATAGATTAAATTAATAATGAGAACCACTACACACAAGTAGACCCAACTTTGTTTGAACATAAAGGAAGAGGAAGACTAAGGTATTGTACCAGTATTTATAATTTTTTGAGATTCAATTATATATTTTTGAAATAAAAGTTACAATTGAAAAAGACATAAAAGTTA